AAGAGAACATGTTTTGGGGTGCACGGTCATCCCCACCCCCGGCCTGGGAAGTGCCCTCATCTATAGCCCCTTTACTCACAGCAGGTAAAGCTAAGACATCCACGTCTGGTCTTTCCCACCCCCACCGCATCCAATCTCCCTCTGCCATCCACCCCCCTCCCCACTGCCCCCACTGATCGGAATAGGGTTGACTCACTAACCAAGGCCAAAGCATCCACTGGCTGCCCAAAACTATGGATTCTCTCAAAAACGCCACTTGAAAAACAGGACGGTAGTCATCAGGGGGCTCTGGAGCTAAACCGCCACGCAGAGGCAATAGTAGAACAAAGATCACCAGGAGCCAAAGTCACCAGGAAGCAGCAACCGTCAGTGAAGGGAAGAGCCGGTCAGCAGAGGAGGGAGCGGAAGTGCAGGGAGATGCAGAGACAGGCCACGTGGGACAGAGACCTAAAGAGTCCTCCAGGGGAACAACCCACAACCCAGAGAGACAGCAGCTGGCAGACCCATCCTGGTTCCCAGCTCTCTCCCTCCCACACAGGATGAGGCCTGCTGGCCTTCATTTCCCACCTATGGACAGTCCATGAGACGGCCCATTATATCCTCACAACAACCACCCCCTTTTCATTCAGGTAGGCCCCCGTTTTTTTCTTGCACCCACAGAATCTAGAAAGCAGGGAAACTTTACCACCAGAGACTACTCGGCCTACTGGGAGTTTTGCTGAGTCTCTGATGGTCATTTCCTCCTCCCTCCCTGCTCACCCCCAGAGACAGCACGTATGGAAGCCATCAACATTTCTACCTTGACTGCCCAGCACAGAAAGCCAACACTCTTCCTCCTCACAACAGAACTTTCCCCATGAGCCTCACACAGCCCTCTCACTGCAAAAGCGGCTCCACTTCCCATCCCAGTATAGCCCAGCGACCTGAAATACCCAGCACTTACACAATGCCTTGGTATGTAAGTACTAGGTTTGATCCAATTTATTTTAAAAATCTTTCTGGGTGTTTAATAAATGCAAAATTCTTTAACAGGAATTAGCAACATCAGAGATGGATTAGAAATGGTGTCAGCCTTCAGGAAGCTGACAATCTTGGGGACCAGGAGAACGTGTTGGAAGAACACATGGGAGAGAGTAATTTCAACTGGAGGAATCTGAAGAAGTCAAACTATTAAGGCAGGGTTTCCAGAGACAGATGGGAGGCGAGTTTCTGGGTGCTTCCAGGCAGGGCTTAGCCAGTGGGAAGCACATGGTGGCCCCATGTGGCTGGCACCCTAGGAACAGGAGAAACCTCAAGAAAGGCAGGTGGGGCTCAGAGGAGAAGGCCTGCAGGGCCCACTAAAGAGCTGGGGGTTGACAACACAGGCCAGGGGGCCAAGGAAGTCCCCTGAGCAGGGAGTCACACAACCAGGCTTCAGAGTCCATCTTCTGTGCTTTAAATCTCCTAAAGTTACCAGCCCTGAGACGGACACTGCAACAAGTTGAATGTAGCTTTGGAAAACAATTAGCCTCTTATCATGAATTTGGATAAACTGCGTACAAACGAGAATTGTCTCCACCACTTGAGCAAGTTCAGTCGGTCCTTCACCTCTCCTCACAACAGAACTGTCCTTCTCTGGCCATCCTGGGTGCTCAATATCATTGACCTAACAATAGTGAAAAGCAAAGCACAGCCTCTTCGGCAAGTTAGGAAATGTCTCTTGCATGTTTGGAAATCTGCTCAAGGCTCCATATCTGTGCTGCCTTTTTTTTTTTTTTAAAGTTTTACCAGATATAACCAGCTCTTATATAAGAGACTCTGTTCTAAGCCGATGTTAATTATCAGAGGGAAAGAAATAAGTCCTGATCATTGTCACCACACCCCAGATAATGGACAATACTCCCTTCCATTTATGCAGCCCTTGAGAATGTACAAAAGCAGCAGCCTTATGTGCACACACCTAATTTAGGTTTGACAGGATGCACTCCTCATGCAGTTCCAGACAGGAAAGGGATGCAGCTGTGCCCAAGAGCTGTTACACATCCATGCCTGCCACAGGGAGGGGGGAGGACAAGGGAGTAGGAAGGGACAGTCCTGCACAGGGCAAACGTGAACGGTGCGCACAGAATAGAGCACCCCTTTCAAACTGGGACAGGCCTCACACGGGAGAGTTGGGCCAGGCCTGGTGCAGCTGCAGGAGGCAGCTACCAGCCAGCCTAGCAGCCTAGGACCTGTGGCCTGGGTCAGGCTTCCCCCCACTGCAGTGTCCAGCGGCCCTTGCCAAGTCACCGACATTCTCTAGGCTTCACGTTCTTCGGCTATACAATAACGACACTGCCAATATGCCTGCGTCTCCGCCATCTTGCCAAAACAAAACAAACTAACCTCCTTTAGGCCCCTGCGGCCTTCCAAACTACTTTGACTGCCATCTTCGCCAGGGAGCCTGGCCTGTGGCGTGGGGACACACTCTAGGGTGGAACTCAACCCACCCGAGACACTGCAGGAACAGGGGCCCTTGTGACTCCTCCCAGTCATCCTGATGGCTTGGAGGCAGACAGTGCCATCCTGGGCCCCATCTGCCCTCAGACCCAGAGGCTAACCCAGCAGGGTCACTGTGTGGGACAGGCCAGGCTGCAGGGCCACAGCTGCACTGGTCGAGGGACTGGGATCTGGCAGACAATCATTTATTCATCCAGACTCAGAATTCACATAAGCCACAGTACTGTTGGTTTTTCTTTTTCTTTTTTTTTAATTTTTAAGCTGTTAACTATTAGTACTTATTTATTTCCTCCCAAAGCACTTTTTTTCTGATGGGGAAAATAATAATTCTCCTGCCTACCTTTCTCGTTGCCTCCTGTTTTCATTTCTCTATTGGCTACTAAAGAAAGAAATGTCTTTTCCTTTCAACCCAGGAAGCCTTGCAGCTGCTCTCCGAGGCTTTGGGCACTCGGCATGGATTTCTGCAAACACGTATGCATTTTCTCTTCTACCCTACCAGGCAGTCTTCCATTGGAAAGCTACTATACACCTCCCAAGTGAATCAGCCAATCAGAAACAGGGGGAAGTGGCCAGTTCTGTCCTGAACTCTGTCATCTGTACGAAGACATCCCAGCACCACACAAAGCCACTCATCTGAGCACTTCATTCACTACAGAAAGACTGCTTGAAGACCCGATTATGCCTACCCACCTAGAGGCCAGGCTGGTGGGCCTTTGTGGTCCTCAGGAACGTGTTATCACATAGGGGCTAGAAAGTCCTGAGCCAGTTGTGGACAAAGCTGGCAGTCACACTGCCCACATGGAATTCTAAACAGGATTCTATTGCTCCCACTCTGGGACTCAACTCTGATCTCTGATCTAGCCCTTCAAGTCTGAGGGGACCCCACACAGCCTACATAGCACATTCACAGGGATTCTAGGCCACTATCTTTACCTCGTTAGAAATTGAGCCTTCTGCTTCTAAACAGTTGTTACATGAATTGATTCCATGAGCATATATTAAACACACTGTGTGCCCAGCACTGTAAGAAGCTCTGTAGGAAATATAAAAGAAAGAGCAGACAAGGTACAGCCTTGGTACCCGAAATCCAGGTGGGCATGTACAGATATGGGAGGTACAGATATGCTCAGCACAAAACTAGAAGCAACAGAGGCAGGATACAGTCAAGCACAAGTCTGTGTGGTAGTAACTAAGGCTGTCCCAGCCTTGAGCCAGCTGGTCCATAAGCACCCTCTTCCAAAGTCCATGGTGGGCATGTTTTTCAGGGAACATAGCCGAAAAGAGACTATGTCCAAGACAGTAGAGGACGCAAGTGTGATTTTTGAAGGGCAAGGTTAAAGAAAAGCAGCTTCGAGTCCTCTTCCATCCTAGGGTCCCTCCTGAACCTGGCCCCATCGATGCTAACCCCTGCTCCTTGCCAGAGAAGTGGTCCTGACTTGGCAGCAGAAACCTACTTTTACTACACTGGGTGTGAAGAGGGGCTATCACCTCTGTTTTTACTCAATAACTAAAGTGTTGAATGCTCTGAATTATAAGAACAAAATCTCTCCAATTTTTGCCTGAAAGCTGTCAACCAACAAGGAAGTTCCTTTCTGTGAAAAGGTGACTTCTAACTGTGGAAGGCTAGGTCATTCACATTAGACTTAATTCACTCTGCTTTTTGTTTGCTTGTCTCTTTATTTCCCTTAAAGATAAGCTTCTGCTTCCATTTGTTTCCAGGGTCCATTTCTTCCTGGTTACACAGTTACATAACATGCTCTATATGGGCAAAGCCCTCCTTCCCCAATCTGAGCCTGGTCCCAACGCGCCATTCAAGACAACACGGTTTTATGAGGTGATGATAAAGGTTTCCTCTAGATTGAAACTGCGTGGATGAGAGGTGCAGGGCTCGTCTCCCATCCTGGCTCTGTGGAAAGCTGCTGAAATCCCCTCTTTTTTAGCCCCTCTGTTTCCGCAGCCAACCCACCCTCTTTTTCTGTTGTAGGAAAACACTCACAGATGCAGCTGTATTCAGATGGGATACCCACATCAGCACCAGTGTGCGTGCAAGGGAAAGACAACGGGTTGGAAGCCAATGGAATTATATGAATACACAAGAAGAAAGGTTTTCTTCTTCACAAATGGTGGAGAATACATACTCTTTTCAATTCTGTAACGTAGAAAATATTGAAACATATTATTAAGAAAGCCAAATATACTATGAACGTGTGCCTGACATAAACTAGCTTCTACAGTTTTAAAATGATTCCTAGCTGAGGCAGTATGAAGAGTTTATAAGAGAACAAAGAAGCAAGTATTAAAATGCTGTGTTCAGCATAATAGAATTCACGTACTCACCACTATTTATCAAAGGCCTACTACGCCTGGAACATCCCGAACACCTCAATGGGAAGAAGAGTTCTTGTTTCTGACCCTCTCCCTCCCTGACCCCAGCCAAACATAAGGAGTTGCAGGATTTAATTACATACCCACTGCCAAACCCCTAAGTCAAGAGAAAATGGTGGGTTCACATGGAAGCTTACCTCGCCTCAGAAGTTCTGGAAGCAGAAGCACGCTGGGACTCTCCGTGGACTCTCGGGATGCGGCGGCTGTTTTCAGAGTCACTCACGTGTCCTTTCCCCAGGGATGTCCTACTGTGTGGGAAGGCGGCAGGGCCATCCTCACACCCATTCAGCAGGCCGTGGCCAGCTCTCGCGCCTGTCCTCGCCTGCTGGCGCCCCTCACAGTTATCTTCGTGTGGTGCTGGGAGACTTCTTGATGGTTTGTATCCATGAGAAATCAGGAGGTCTTCTACACTGTACATAATGCACACACACTGGCCTCCTCAAAGCTCAGCCGCCGGGACGGTCGTGGTGACAGGACCCACGCTGAGGGGACAATAGAGAGTGCTGATGAGGAGCCACCGGTCCTCCTGGAACTTCATCTGACACCTCCTCCCTCCACCCTGACCAAACCAGACCCAGGGTATGAACACAGCACGGCACCTGCACAGACAGTGAAGAAATGTGGAGTGCTCCACCTGAAGTTATTCTCCCTCTGCTTCAAGGAGAAAGGGTGGAGCGTGGGCTCTGCAGGATGTGGTGGTAATTCTGGGGACCCCACCCTCTGATGGCTGCCTTGTAGAACAGTCCAGAATAGTGTTTAAGCAATGAAATGAGTAACAGTGTCCACCATCCCCTCACCCTAGTCATCTGAAAACAGGCATAAGGAGTGAGGACAAAATAAATACAGACTCAGAAGCTGCAATTACGACCTCGTGTTTCTAAAAGGAGAAATGACCAGTGTTCAGCTTCATCTTATTATACTCCCTGCTTTCATCTTGCAGACATACCTTTTGCTCTAAAAGGGCAGAGTGAGACCTTTAACCAACTCATAGCCATAGTACACTGCAGCGGAAGCAATCTAGACGGGCAACCTCCCCAGGCAGGTTAACCAGCCACTGAAAACAGATCTCCAGCCTTTCAGCTCATGAGCAAGCACACGACACCCCGGTCCAGCACACACCCCAACCCACTACCCAGTTCCAAACTCTGCCCTTCCACGCGGGACTTCAAAGAATCAAGTTTCTCCCCCAGGAACCCGGGGGAATGTTTTGCATCTCTGAGCCAACGGTGTCCACGTCCAGACCCTGCCACAGTGCATTAATTCAACAGCAGCACCTTCCCCGAGTAAACTGCCCAGAGGTGACAGAACCAACCAAGAATCAAAAGGGACAGGAACCCACTTGAGAGCGCATGTGTGAAACTGGGTGGGGCTGCCATGTTTGTTTTTACACAAAGAATCTTTCTTGCTGTGTCTTCACATTGCTAACAGGATGGAAGACAGTTTGGGCTGACGGATCTGCTGCTGCCTCCCCGGAGGTTGTGACGCTGGCCTGGGAGAGAAGCACACGACAACCGGGCCTGGAGGAGCTGGGCCAGCTCCAGTCCACTTCGCTGGCGGACAGTGGACGGAAACAGTGCCGCGGCCACCCCACGAACAATGGCCAGGAAATGCCTGCTGGCCGTGTGCAGGTGAAAGGGAGACGCATGTCCTTCCTGTCAGTGGGAATTCTTACGGGGGCCATCACACGATTCTGCTGACTGTGCATGGCCTCGCTCTTCATCACATGCTAGACTACAGCAGCAGAAAAGTCGCGGCTGTCAGCACAGCGAGTATCCAAGTCTATAATTTTCCATTAGGTCCCTAAGTTTTCTGGAAGGTTGACTAGCTCTGGCAGTTACTGTACGAGTAGAAAATTCTCCATAGCAACTCTGCCATTCCTGACACTCCTGCTATCTGTCTTTTAAGGAGTTGTACAACTTGGGTCATTCACTTAGACGGAAATGGAAGGACCAGAGAGGCAAGCACTTGCTCTTTGCTTCAACTGAGTAAGTCACTGGGCTAGAGACCACAGAGGAAAGAGATGCCATTACAAACTCAGGGCTATGGGAACACAGAGGCAAGGCTATGAGGCCAGAGTCTTTGTTTTATTCAATGCTACACCCCCAGCATCTAGCACACAGTATGCTCTCAATAATAACTGTTGAATGAATGCAGAAATGAGAAAGAGAGACATTTGAGCTAGGTTTTGAAGAGTGATTAGGAGTTCACTAGATAAACTGCACATGCACGTGTATGAGAGGGGGAACTGGCATTTAAAATAGATTTTGGATACAATTATCCCAGGAGTAAAGAAATTGACATAGCAACAGGATCCTGGTAGCCTAGACAAGGGTCCCCAGACTCACCAGCTCAATGTCACACACCCAGGCAGCACCACAGTTGAAATTAGAGTTTAGGTCTATAACAGCCAAGTTTCTCTCTCTTACTATATCAGGCTCTTTAAAAGCAAAGCAAAGTACACTGGGCTCCAACTGGCCATCCACTATGCAGAGGGACCAGCCAGTGCCCACCACAGGGCTGTCTGTGCTGCAGCCCACTGTTAGAGTGGTAAGAAGAAGGACCCTCACAAAACAGGTCTGTGGGTCACTTTCCTAGTGAGGTTAGGTAGGTTGGACCACTATGGCTACATCTGCATGGAAATATATTTAGCAAACCCTTAAGTGGCAATGACAACCCAGGCCAAGCAATAAACATCTTTCATAAAAGACTCACACTCTTAAGAGCCATAACATGACCTTATAAGTCTGAGGTCAAAGTGTATTATCATTGGAAACTCCTAACTAGTTTCGTCTCACAGAGGCCAATAGCTTGCGGGGAGCAGTGGTATGAAATACACCAGCTTCAGCATGCAGGACTTGAAGCCGAGCGGGAGAGGTGAGGAGGCGAGGGGACGACCTGCAGGCCCATAATGCAGTGAGTGTTCCCAGCTACCCTCTAACCCACGGAGGACTCCTCTCCCTTAGCCTTGCACTCTTCACCTTCTCCAACCCAACTCAGAGCCTGGGCTGCCACCTCATCTCCACACCCATGCTAGGCATCACCTCTCGCTTACACAGATTTCTGAATAGTCACACGGTTTTTCCAACCCCTATCATACTCAGCCTACTTTCTTTAGCATCCCTATCTACTTCAGATGGAATGAGCTGCCTCAGAGGTAGCAAGCGCCCCATCACTAACACATCAGTCACAGAGGCCACCAGGAGGGGACACTGAGGCGCTGGGGAGGACACAGCAGCCAAGGAGTTGCTGGACTAAAAGCTGGCCCTTTTAAAGTTTCTTTCCAATCCTGAGATACCAGTGTTCCTTTTTTTTTTTTTTTTGTGAGGAAGATGAGCCCTGAGCTAACATCCATGCCAATCCTCCTCTTTTTGCTGAGGAAGACCAGCTCTGAGCTAACATCCGTGCCCATCTTCCTCCACCTTATGTGGGATGCCGCCACAGCATGGCCTGACAAGTGGTGCGTTGGTGCGCGCCCGGGGTCCAAACCCAGGCCCCCATCAGCGCAGTGCGCGCACTTAACCACTACGCCACAGGGCTGGCCCCAAACCAGTGTTCTAATCAACAGAATTTTATTCGTCACCCACACACCAACTCAAAGCGTGGCTGTAAACAACCACACACCAAAATCTGACATCAATGTAAGTTATTATGACATTAGATTTCACAACTTGGAGAGATATGTGTATAGTTTAAAATAGCACAGGATCAGGTGCGATCCTTTTAATCCCAGTACTAGTGCTAATATCCAGTCCCAGCCGGGACCCCTGGAGCAGGTCATCAACCACAGCAAATCTCAGTTTTCTGACCAGCAAAATGGCAATGTCACTATCTTCCCATTTCACCAGACTCTTTGAGGGCCAGATGAGAATACGTAACAGTATAAATCACCACGCAAATATGAGGGTGGATTTACTATGCTATGATGGCTCTAGCTTGCCTCTGAAGGGTTACTTGCCTCATGGAAAGATTTCACATTAGCTATTAATTTTTACCAAGTAGTTTAGACCAGTTCCTAATTCCTTTTGTATCATTTGGGATGTAACTCTTGATTTCCAAAGTCATACCCACTTTACATCACCCACATACTTGTCTTTTGTGAATGGATACTTCAATCTCCATCCAAGTCACTTAGAACAATAAGTGTCATTTCATATAGTCCAAAACATTAAAACACAATTCTGAATGTCCATATTGTACCAGGCACTGAAACTATAATAATGAATAAGACACGTTCTTTGCCCTTGAGAATCTTACTGTAGAGACAGCTGGAAAACAGGCACATAAAACATAGCATATGCATGGATTAGTGACGGGAGCTTGCCACCTCTCCACAGTGTCACAGCACTGTGACAGGGATAATGACAGGATGAGACAGAGGGACCCTAACCCAGTCTCAAGGGGTCAGGAAGGCTTCTGGAAGATTGCTTCTAAGCCACACAAATCCTCTACCTCAAAGTGGATCTGCACTGTAAGGTCACCCTGTGAGTATGATTTTCCAGCCAGTTCATTTAAGAATTTTGTTCTTTCACTACTTTTGTTTGTTTGTTGCCTTGTATCAAATACTCACAGTGGAACACCTAGGAAGAGTGGTCAAGAGTGTGCAGGGGCCTAGATACCATCTCAGGTAAGGAAGGGACTTCTAGCATTGGCTGAGCCAGGACACAATGACAGAAGATGAATGAGCCCACTTTAAAGATCTTTTTCATTTTATGAATATCTAAATAACATTAATGCGGAGGAAACATCTAACATAACAACAAACACGTTAACAGAATGGTCCACCAAGGCACAGCTGCCTCTGAGACCGGGGAGTTCCAAGCTGAGAGGTTCTCGAGCAGAGGCTGAGGTGAGTGTTTTGTAAACTGTTTTGTTTTTACAGCAACCCACTGATGGTGTGTGCATACACATCAATCAAAACTTCAGAGGAAAAATATTTAAACCTCATATCCTGACATGTAATATTTTCTATTCCAGTTCACGTTTAATGCTCGTCACTAAATTTCATGATGCACTGATAGGTTGAGGCCTACAGTTGGAAAAGCACTGATGTAGAAATCATTCCTGCTCTGGCCAGGATGCTGGGCTAGACGACCTCTGAAATTCTGTCAAGTCAAAGACCCTATCAACCTACGAGAAATTCCTTGCTTTAATAAGTTCATTGCTCTGTTCTCAACAACAAATACAGCTGTTCTATCCTATTAAAAATTTTCTTTCCAAGAAATAAAGTCATACCTACTAAGTGAAGCTACTTTCCTATTCTTAAGAGCATAAAATGAAAAGAAATAAATCTCCTTAAGGGAAAGTCCTGTCTTCTGTTTCCTTCCTCACTCTACCTATGACCACTGGGGGCTTGGTCCCTGAGGCCTCGGACACTGCATCCCTGGTTGACAGACAAACCCAGCACCGCAGACGCAGACAGGGAAGCCGAAGGTCCCTCCAAGTGAAGTGGGTCTGCAGTGCCACCACTTTTATTCTCTCTCTA